CTAGAGATTGGAAGGGACCTCGAAAGATCATCTAGTCCAATCCCCCTGCCGGAGCAGGAACACCTAGATAATGTTACACAGGAATGTGTCCAGGCGGGTTTTGAATGTCTCCAGGGAAGGAGACTTCACAACCTCCCTGGGCAGCCTGTTCCAGTGTTCCGTCACCCTCACTGAGAAGAAGATGTCAGACATGTTCTTCTACTGAGAAGTGAATGGAGGAATTCTCCCTTCTCTCGGGTGTCAAAGTCAAGTTTGTTCCTGCAGATATGTTTTGGCTTTAAAGTTCAGCGCCATCTGATATTTGCGGAGGGCAACTAGTAACAACTGGGGTCAAAGACTATTTGCTGAGCCCATGAAGGTGTTAAGGGGGCATGAAGAAAGGCTAGGAAAATTGGAGAAGAGCCTGGAAAAGAGAAGCTGTGTGGAGACCTCAGAGGAGCTTCCAGTATCTGAAGGGGACCTACAGGATTGCTGGCCAAGAAGTCTTCATCTGGGACTGCAACGATAGGGCAAGGGGTGATGGGTTTAGACTTAAACAGGGGAGATTTAGGTTGGATATAAGAAAGAAGTTCTTCACTATGAGGGTGGTGAAGTACTGGTACTGGTTGCCCAAGGAAGTTCTCAATGCTCCATCCCTGGCAGTGTTCAAGGCCAGGTCGGACGCGGCTTTGGGCAACCTGATCTAGTGGAAGGTGTCCCTGCATATGGCAGGGGTTTGGAACTGGATGATGTTAAGGTCCCTCCCAACCCAAACCATTCTGCAAATTCTGTGCTCTCCTGCTGTACGTCTCTCCTAATCCTCCTTACGCTTAGTGAATTCTCTACACAATAGCTGATGCCTGTCTTCACCCAGCTGAATCCCCATGGCCTGCAAGTCATCTTACACACTGACCAGAAGCATTGTTTTCCTCCAACTTATTTTTAGCTGCATAATATGACTACTCATATTTGCGCAGAACATAGCCCTGAGCATGGTGAGATGGTGCCTCTGACAGTTTTTGCTGTAGCAGCCATCACTGAATACATTTTGAGTGATTAATTTTCTTAAAAGCAAAAATAAACCTTGGGAGTGCACATGTGCTAACAAGTTAAAAATAATAATAGGTGTCTGTGACCATGTTGCTTCTGTCTGAATCCTGCAGGGGAATTCAGTTGCTAAGAACGACTTATGCAGCTTGCCATATTTCTGTGTGTTAAACAGCAATCAAATAACTATAGGCAAAAGTCCCAGCTGTCAAGCATGAGGAGTGTAGGGGCTGATCGGGGGAGTACAAGGCATTTTTCTCCTATGTTATATATGTATATTAGATAATGTAAAAGGGAAATTAAATGAGGTGAGTACAGAGTGGGAAGGATGCTACCATCTCTTTAAAATACCATGCCAAATGTTTACAGAAAAGATTCTGTTTGACCAGTAGCACTGTTCTTTATATAGTGCTCCTAACAGTGCTTTACAGCATAACATTTCACAGGGAGAGTGTAGCACCAGCTATTTCAGATTGCAAGAAGGCTGAACTTGGTTCAGCTGCCCATATAGGATTGCTCTTCTGGGCAAGTCTCAGCTACAGTGAGAGAAACTGGAGGCAAGTGTTAGAAGTAGCCTCCATGGCTGCTGACTCATTCCACAGCAACATTTGGGACTCAGTTTTAAATCTTGTCAGTTTTGGCTCTTCCTATGAGATTTTTTTTATTTATAATTGCCACAGATTAGTAGAGATTTGTAGGACAGAGGCAAGAAAAGCATCTTTTTATCTTCACACACAAATAGAGACTAAAAAAGTTTCTTGGGCTTTTAACTGAAGTCTTCAGCTTTTTCATGACTTCACTTTATTTCCAAGCTCTTACTACTCAGCCATGAAACTCATCCTTGCGTTAAAACCTCACACACAAATTATGAGTTCAGAGCTTTGGCTTTTAACACACATATAGGAAAACCTGAAGAAAACACTAATCTGCCCCAGTTCCCAGGGTTCAACACATGCTATATACATGGCATCCCTTGTGATATTACTGCTGGTCTTGCAAGAAAAGGATGCTGAGAAAAAAATAATCATGATGATTAGGACCCAGCACCTTTCTTAATTTCCCCAAACTTATGGCATAGAAAGGAAATATTGCTTTGCCATTTTGACAGTCTGTCTCCATGTATGCAGTATAAAGACAATAAACACAGAGCAAATGGAATAATTTCTAAGATTTGAAGTGGATTATAAGTCTATATTTTAAAGCTGGAATGTGGCAAGGGGCAGGCCACTGTAACTAGCAAGGCATAGACCAGAGAATGCTGAGGATACAGTGGATTGGTGATTTGCAGGCTTCAATTATCCACGTAAGCCTTTAAAACAAAACCGTGTTAACAGCCTCTATACTGTTTCTTGGCTCCATATGATTTAGGCAGACACCTGAATGTGGTAGAGGTTTTACTCACTTATCAAAATATTGATTCCTAAACTGAAAGTTCTTTCTGTGAACCCTAACACACCATTCTTTAAAAGCTCATGAACAATCTCGGGGCTCTGTCAAGTCAATATTTCATGTTTTATTAATTCCCTGCTTAGTCAGTTCTTTGAATTGGTTCAATTTAGTGTCTGTAAACCTCCTAGTTGCATGTTTACCTGAAAAGGCTCAAAAGAGCTTTTTCAGGCTGATGGACAAATTTATGCTTAGAGAACTCCTAATCTGGAGTTTACATAATACACATGCTGAAAAAAAACAGCTATTTAAAGAAATAATAAGGAATAGGCATAAACAAAGTATCATTGTGAAAACCTGTATGATTATATGTGTATGCTGTAAATTATGGCCTTATACATAAAGGATGTTCTAATCTCATGATTGTCTCTGAATGTGCCTACCTCTACATATCTACAGCTATAGAACTATTTTTTGCTAGTTGTTAATGAGTGTTAATTGTTGATCATCACAAGATACAGCTTCAGTCACTTCCACATTTTAGCAAACTGACTCATACATACAAAGCAAACTACTTGAGATCTAAAACCAATGAGCATATAAAATGTCTCACTGTGAGCTGCTAGCATATGCTCTGATTTTAGAAGGTGGCTGTAGACAGTCAATCTGATTCGTTCCTCATAAATCTACCACTAGGCATTTGAAGATAGAAGGTAAAAACATTTGAGTACCTGTTCATAAACTGGACATCATCCCTTTAGTACACTGAAGGTGAGAATAACTTCTAGTTGGAAAACCAGTATGATAATGCACGTGAAGATTATTAGGTGTGTAGGGAAGTGATGTTGCTTACACTGCTTAATTTGAGTGGTTGTGAGTGACTGACTTGAGCAATAGCATCTTTTTTTTTTTTTGTCTTTTATAGAATCTTTTAGCATATACATAAAATGTATAAATAATAAGAATGTATATATTAATGTAGAGGCTAAAAAAGAAAGTACACAAAGATATAGAAAATCAAACTTATTGCATAAGTATTGCATAATATCACTACAGAACAATGTTTTAAGCACAAAGATTTGCAAATTTCCCTTTCAACGTAACATCACTCATAGTGTTCCACCTAGAAATTCTTATAGTGAAAGGAAATGCAGAAGTAAATGTGTTCAGACAAATAAACTGTGCTTGAAAAAAGGCATATGTTTGAGTAAGCAACCTCTACCTAATTAAAGATTTCAGTGATTACGAATTTCACTGGTCTATAGATAAATTATACAGGTAAGGATGCAGGTATCTTCCTATGTGCATCACAAAGAAACTTTAACAGTAACTGCAGTTCCTTGAGCCTTTGTCTCATACCTGATTGAAAGCCTTCTTAATATGTCCTATATGTATAGATCAAGAGCCTTCTTTTCCTTCTCTTAAATTAGCTCCTTAAGTATCAAACAAGGACATTTGAAGAACTGAGCTCCCAGAAACTCTCAACTTTTTTTAGTGGTTTGTTGTTTGGTTTTTTTAATCCCTTTTTTCAGCATTTATGGAATTTTACATTAATTTTTTTTTTTTAATGAAATGTAAAGGAGATATCATAAGATCAGTAACACAATTTACTTTTTTTCTGAGTTAAAGTTTAAGATTTTAATACTTTTCTGGTAAAATTTTTAATAATAGTCCCATAAAAAAAAGAGAGAGGGAAAGAAGAGAAAGGAAAATCAAGGAGTTTTGGACTCTTGATCACTTCTATAAGTTACCTTGGCTAATGAAAGACAAAGAATTTAAAACTTTAACTTGTAATAATTTGCCTTTAGTACTTACTTTAAATTCTGATAAAGTTCCACTACATGTTCAGATTCTCCATTCAGACAAATTCCAAATGTATTTATTTGCACAACTGAAATCTGCTTTTCCACACAACAGTGTAATGCTGCTGGATGAAAAATACCTCTCTAACACAAACTGCTACGTTTAGGAGTAATTAAAATATCCTTTTTAGGGTAGGACTGATATAATTATGACTGATTTTGAGTTACTAAACATTTGCTAACTTGTTGATAAATTAAAACTAAAATGTAGCTATTGATATACAGATATTTAGAAAATCAGAAGAAAACTAAAGTATTTTCAACAGAAGTATTCCTTTTTCTGCCCTACCTTGCATTTGTTGCACTTTCAAGACTCCCATTAATGGGAGTCCTGGGAGTGTCAGCTCTGTAAGACTGGTTCTTCACAGGGAAATGTGACATGGAAAGGAACTCAAAGAGAATTCACCTTGGAAACTTTAACTGGGTTGTATAATTTGCCATTCTGTTCACTATATTTCAAAGGTATCCCATAATAGCTAGTGGTTCTTTACAAAGGTCACTGTAAAATCATATCCTGTATGACTACATATTTCAGAGTGTTCAGCATCTGCCAGCTGTTCAAGTGAACTTTGTTAATGGAGGCAAAGTTTTCTGGGGTTGTCACCCTGACCCTTAAACTGCATTATCTACAAAACCATAAACCTTATTAAAAATAAAAGATATGAAAAGGTTTATAAAACATCCTCTTAGCAGATCCTGTTTCCAGCTCCACCTTTTGATCTGCAGTTGGTTTTCAGCTCTTGCCACCATGCCTGCTGATTACAATGGGACGTGGGAAATGGAAAGCAATGAAAACTTTGAAGGCTACATGGTTGCTTTAGGTAAATGAAAAAATATTAACTATATAAAGAAAAAATGTTTCAATTATAAGTAAAATCCTCCTAAAAATTAATGAGACTATTTCTGTGCATTGTGACATAAGGGTTTCTCTAATCACATTAAAAGTTCAGAAAAGTGATATAATTACTGTGATCTAAGTATAAACAAGAGAAGAGCTGTAGTCAAACGTATTAGTCATTATTTAAATGAATGAAAAGCCAGGTATAGATGGGGAAAAAGAAATGATACAGATATTTCTGATAGAGAAATTATAAATATTTTTTACTCCTGGTATATACTTATTTTAACAGTCAAATCACAACCTGGTCGGCTCTGTTAAAGATGGGATAGTCTATGTCCCTAAAGTAATTACAGTGTTTAGTAATTAATGCTTCGAAGTAGTAGAAATCCTACGTACCAGTTGGATGATAAAGGTGAAATAAGCCTTTAAAAAGAATTAAAGCCGCATGGGCAGATATTTCTGACAACTTCTGTAGGAGTCCATACACAGCAAGGAGGCTTAGGTCACAGGATTTCTTGAAGATAGGTTTGCATGGTTAACTAAGCTTAATTCCACTTGCCTAGCACCATCATTGATGACAATGTATGTTTACATGCAAAAAGAGATGTTCTGCTCTTCAGGCAACTTATATTACTACTCTGTTAGCCTCTTTTGCATTAGAGGCCTGATAGCTACAGTTTGTGCATCCATTGTACAGGATATTGCTTGTAGATGCTAGTATATTGTCAACTGAATGCAAGTTCATGTGTGTTCATATCAAGTTTTTGTTGTTTGTAGATTTATTTTTCCCCACACTGATAGACTCAATTTTTGTAATGACTGAGCTGATTTTAGGAGAGAAATGTTTTCTTGTGCTGCACCTATTATTTTCAACATAAAATGCCTTCTAAGCATTTTTGTTCCCATAAAGGCATAAGCTTTTTGCTCTGGGTCATTATGATTATCTAAGTAGCGCGCAGGAAATCCTTCCTCTACTTAGGTTAGCAAAGATGTAGACTTTGATTTGCTGAAAAGAAGAAATAATAGAAGACATCACCATTTCTCAAGAATTTCTTCAGTGCAGTCTGGATTGGCACTGGAAGAACAGTTACCACCTTCTCATTACTGCAGTAATACAGCTGCACTCCAAAACCAGCAAAAAAAGAGGGGAGTTAGATTTATACATGCATGAGAAGTTGTCTGGAGCTGGCCCTTCCTAAGTACACGATGGGGGTTTTTGCATATACACACATATAGATTTTGTAAGTTATACTAATTAAACACTGCAAAAAAAAAAAAAAACAAACCCACCACCAGAATCAATGCAGAGATGCATTTGGCTATAGGTGATTCTCTGAGTGGAAGGAAATTACATGGAAAGGGTGAAAAGATATTCTTCTGCTCTGTTTCTCACAATACACATGAGGTTGATATTTTAAGCATTAAAGTGGTCAGGTTCAAGGCACAATGTGATTTTGGTTTGTTGAAATTCATCCATCCTTTTAATTAATGCAGATGCATTTCTATACTTTAATTAAAGAATACTTTTGCCCTTTAAGCCAGAAACTTTGATTTTATCATAAGCATGCTACAAAGTATTTTAATCTACTAGAATAGAACAACATATCATTTTTATTGCTTGTATTGTTCAAAATGCAGTTATGAAAACCATGCTTTAATAAAACCTCCCCTGATTTTTCTCCAGGAGCTACAAGACTAATATATTAGTCAGAAATAGCAATTCTTTGGAAGTTTAGACATATTTTTTCCTCAGAGGGAATAAGATTTTATGATACCTGGCTATAAATCAGACCCAGAGGTACCTCTAATCCACCCCAACAGATAAAATATACCCAAGAAGTCTTGAATATAAATATTGAACAAGAACATTATTCCCCATGTTAAAAAGTAATAATTTTTTTTCAAGCCAATCCTTGTACTCATCTCGATTAGTACTTCACAAGTAGTATAATGAATCCACCCCACCAAAAAAAGGCTCCATTAGTATGTGGCATTGCTGAGCTGCCAATGATTAAACCACTAAAAGATGGCTAACAAATCAAAAGCAGTTTTCAATCTCTTGCAGAAGCATGTGAGATTATTTTGTTTGCATATAGCACCATAACAAGATTCACTGTTAGCTGGTCAGAAATATTTATTGCAGATGGCGCTAGGTGGATTATCTGGGGCAAACTGTCGTTGTAGCAATATATATTCTCCGTTTGGAAACTTTCAATGCATTCAGTTGCAACCAGTTGTTTACATTCTAATGTCAGTCTCCTTCATGAACAAAATAAGGATGTTAAGGAGATCAGTTCTGCATAAAATAGTGACAGAATATTAAATAGGAACTATCAAATGCTGTACTTAGATACTTCTACTCTTGGCTTGTAATTCGTCACCCTTTAACATCTAAACTACACCTCATCTCTGCGTCTGCTGTCTACCAGTAGAGGATAAGTCATACTTTTATTTCATTGCTTATTTTTTTCATTTGAATAATTTTCAATATTTTAAAATTAATTAACCTCTTATATAGTTCCACAGACTATAGGTTCATCTTGAAAGTAACATTTACAATGCAATTATCATCATTTACAAGGATACCGGAGAGGGACTCATCATCAGGGACTAAAGGGGCAATGGGTTCAAACTAAAACAGAGGAATTTCAGGTTAGATATAAAGAAGTTCTTTACTGTGAGGGTGGTGAGGCACTGGCACAGGTGTCCCAAAGAACTGGCAAATGCTCCATTCCTGGCAGTGTTCAAGGCCTGGTTGGACAGAGTCTTGGGTGATATGGTTTAGTGTGAGGTGGCCCTGCATGTGGCAGGGGATTGGAACTAGATGACCTTAAGGTCCTTTCCAGCCCCAGCCATTCTATGATTCTATGCCAAAATCCCCTTGGTTACATACTCATTCTAACATGCTTATTTTCTAAAAAAGAATATTATTTTGAGATTCTTCTTTTGGGGGCGGCCAACATTTTTAACCCTGCAGGACACACACCAGCACCCTCACATGTGAGGTGCTACATGACTTACACTGCATGCTTACAGAAAACAAGAGAATGGCTCCCAGGCATAAAGTGATAATAGCATTCCTGGCACCCCAGAGCTTCTTGCAGCCAAAAAGTCCATCTAATAGCAAGGTTCCACATCCTCAAAAAAATTGGAGATTTGGGATTCACTACTGGTTGTATGTTGTAACTCAGCTCACAACATTCCCACAGATATCCTGTTAATAAGTAAATTTATCATCAGTGGAAGATCCTCAAGTTGAAAGTCTACTCACAAACACAAAATCATTTTTATTTGGAGTGATCATTTTCTCTACAAAATGTTGCAGGTAAAAGTATCATTTGTGGAACTCCGTTCCACACCTAATGTGTTGGCATTTTTTTTATGTATGAATATAAGTGCTGTGGGGTTTTATTTTTGGTAGAAAATATGGGACTTTTCATTATGATACTCTCTTCTCTGTTTTATGGCAGGTATTGATTTTGCAACTCGTAAGATTGCAAAACATTTGAAACAAACAAAGGAGATTGTTCAGGATGGTGATAACTTCAAAACAAAAACACTCAGTACTTTCAGAAACTATGAACTGAATTACACTGTGGGAGTGGAGTTCGAAGAGCACACCAAAGGCCTGGATAATCGAGTGGTAAAGGTAAGAGTTTGGTGCCTTGTATCTGTTTACAGTACAGCCAGCACCAGGAGAGAGCAGTTGCAAAAATCAGCTGAATACATGAAAAAGCCCCCACAATATTTATAAACATCAGGGGATTTTTATAAAGCAGAAATAATTTGCATCTTGGGACAGTTTTCTTTCCTGCTACAAGCATTTATTCCAAATGCAAATCAGGATGGTTACTCGGCTACATGAGGACAATCATTAATTACACGTTTTTCTAGTAGGAGATTTTTCCAGCTTTTTTCTGATACACCTTTATGTATTTAGAAAGTAGCAAAACTGCATTTTGACCTATTTATCTTCCTTCCTGAAACTATAAATCCATCCATTTGAATCGAGGACTTTCTGTGACTCAGTATAAATTCTCAGTTCTGAGTGACAAGGTTCACACTGTGTTTTCCATCTGAGCCTGCTCAGGCTCAGCTGGACAGTTTAACAGTTGGACACTGTTAAAAATAGACCTGCTCTCAGCTATTAACCTTAAGGGAGCTCTGGGAAGGGACAAGACCAAAACATGAGCCATAGCTGCCACTGATACAGGTGGCAGGCCTACTGGCAGTGGCAGACGGGCAAGGATGCACAGCAGTGCATGCTTTAATACCTTTAGGATTATAGGAGTAACCTGAGCTCAAAATTCCCTTAGGAAACTGTGGGCATATGTTCATACACTTTTCAGTGAGATATGCAGAGAAGTAACGTTTGGATCAAGGACCATATTGTGTATTAGTCAAGTTTCTGTACCAATACTGCTTCTGTTTTACTCTCTTGTCACCCCTAAAATACTTAAAGAAGATTCTCAAAGGTAGAAAGGCCAATAGATCTTTAATTTCCACAGACTTTCCCCATCAGTCTTCCTAATCTTGCATCACCTGCCTTTGTCATCACTCACTGAATCTATCCCTATCAACTCCTCTGCCAATTACTGCAGTTTTATTCTTCCTCTAAGCTCAGCTCTCTTGCTCTTCTCCAAACATATGCTGTCTTTTCCATCAAAGTTTCTCAATAAACAAGGTTTTGGAACTTGTTGCCAAACTCTGAGAGGCTGGTATCAAAGCTCACTGTCAACAAGACCTGTTCTGTTTTGGCAATTGCCACAGGAAATTGGCAGCATACAGGACATGTTTACATTTGAACTCACATTATCCTTCACTAGAGTGGCACAAATTAAACAGAAGACATTGTTTATTCACTGTGGATCGCTTTTCATTCTCAAACATGATCCAGTGTAATTCCTACTACTTCTTCCAAATTACTTCTCATTCACAGCACTGCAAGCCACGAAATTGTAAGACCCATTCTTTTGCACTGGGTGGGACATATTCCTGTGACAGACCTTATGCTTTGAAACATTGCTCCCACATCTCTTTAGATCAGTTGAAGGCATTACTGAGTATCTAAGGACTCACTAGTTGCACCACTCTTCAAAACTTTAGACTCTAGTGCTCTTCACCACTATCAAAGCTATTGCCTTTCTGTGCAAAATCATTTCATTTGCAGACTCTCCTCTTCATTATCAGATATTTGGAAGGAAGGATGGGAACACAGCTTGTACATTTATAACCCTACTGGGCTTAACCGTTTTTGCCTAATACTCTTTCCTAAACAATTCACATTACTTGTCTCTAAACAAGAGGAGAGGAACACAAGGAAGCAAGTCATGCCATTATTTTCTGGACTGCTATAAAGGAATTTTCTGGTCATTTTATTAACAAAACAATGCCTCAGACACATTGAAAGTAGATGAAGGTAATGAAACTGCTAAGCAGCATTTAAATGTAAAGAGGGCATGGATAATTTAAAGAGCATGTAGCTTAAGAACTCCGTAAATAAGAAAAAAGTTAACTGAAATGGAATGAGTTTTGTCTTGTTATTAATAGAAAGCTCCCTCAAAAGAGAAATAAATCTCCCAGTGCTGAACTAGAAAATAAATTAAGCTCCCAATACTCAGGGAGCTTTTTAATAACTGAACTTCCACTGATTGTAACTGGTCTCCGATGAGGATTTGCCTGTGATACATGTTTAAATGCCTCCCTACAGTACAGTGGTTCAAATCTAGAACAAGTCAAAGCTGCTTTGAATGTACTCTACTTTATCTGAGTAGATAATTTAGCCCGTAAAGAGAAATTTTTGTTACAGATATGGTCATCCTGCTCCTGGACAAGGATCAGCATGCCCACTATCCTGTTTACTAGTGATAGACTGAATCACACCAGATCATGAAATGGCTGAGGATGGAAGGGACTTCTTGACATCACCTAGTCTGCTCAAGCAGGGTCAGCTAGAGCATGTTGTCCGGCTTATGATCTTTAAAGGTCATTTGTGAAAGTGCAAGACAATATAAAAATAAATTTATTGCATGAGATTGTATTAACATACACTTCCATTTGTTATTTGTTGCAGAGCTAGAAAAGGTGTTAGCACCGCACTAGTTGGTATAAGCCCCACGTCTTCACTCATCAAGACTTCTAATCTTTTTATTAATGGCTTTAAATGGCAAGAAAATAAAAAGACAGTTTGCATTCGCAGCACAAGTGTTAATTCACCCAGCAAGTCACTAGATAGTATGACACTTTATATTCATGTATGTGAAGAAATGCATGGAAATGACAACAAAGCCCTGTAAAAGCTTCACATCAAAATCCTCTTGTCATCTTGAATGCATCCAGGTTTTGATTGAATGTCTGCTTTGGGGGCTTTTAGGATGAAGGTGGGGAATGGTAGGGAATTGTGTCTTCTAATTGTTTGATTAAGCTTATTTTCATGTATTGATAAACTTCCTGATAACATATCTGAGTTAATTATCTGATTCATGCAGACGCTAGTGACCTGGGATGGTGACAAACTGGTGTGTGTTCAGAAAGGTGAAAAGAAAAACAGGGGATGGAAGCACTGGATTGAAGGAGACCTACTGCATCTGGTAAGGGCTGCTACACAGACTTCGTAGTACATAACTGACACTGCAACAAAGTGTGGTTTTCCATTTCAAGAAGTTTGTTACTTGTTCTAGTTTGAATGGTCTTTATTTAGACAGCTCCTGTTACTGAGCTCTGGGGAAATTCCTCCTCTGCTACAAGTCAGGAATGCTCAGTTTCTTTCTACTTGCTCCCAGTTAAGTCATAATCCTTCAGAGGGTTTTTTTGCTCCAGTCCACTGCCCTTCAGCTATTAACCCTTTTTGTTACATTGCACCTCTAACATCAGCTCATTCTTATATCATTGGTGGTAGGAAAAATAAACCCAACAAACCAAAACCCCCCAAAAAACCCAAACCGTATGGGACAGATTGCAAGAAAAATGCCATCTTTGTTCTGGAAGAAGCACTATGCGATTTTAGTGTACTGTGGTGTAATACAGATCAGAAACTGCTCAGTATTCAAGAGGATCCTGCAAACAAGCTACACTGCAATTATTGTGTTCTAGTACAAGAAAAAAGTTGAAACATTCATACATCTGAGTTAGTAAGCTGGAGCCCAAAGCTAAATGAGGTGAGTGCAAGATAGGCCAGAAGAGCCTGTGCAGGAAATAACAAGTGAAGTCCAGAAAGATTTCAAAAATCTAGATACATATGATAATGATTACAGAGTTTCTTGGGAAAGCAATCAAGAAATGGGCATGATAATGTTAAATGTTGCAATAGCTGGGTGGAGAAAGCTTATGGAGCAGAGCTCATTGATCTTTCTCATGATTTACCTCTAGATACCTACTCCTTCACAAGTGTGCCCTACAGGTAATTGGTATGGCCAGGTACACTGACTCAAGTCTGTATGCTTGGAAGGTCAAAACAATGAATGGAAGAACACTGTCTGCCACTTAACTAAAAGCCAACTGCTCAGTACACCTTTTCAATGCTATTTTAACACATATTCAAAACCTGACCTAACAAAGGTTCTACATGCTGGCACCAGGATTCAGGCTAAGACTGTTGGAAACAGAAAGATCAAGTAGATTTGTACAAGTCTTCAGAAACAGTATTGCTGGCCAAAAAGCCAGCTGCAGCTCACTTCAAAGTCTGATTTGGCACGGGCTAATGCGAAGACTACCCAAACTGACTGCATTGCAATGTGCACGTGGGCCAACCTTGAAAGCATCAGTTGCAACACTGGGCAAAAATGTTGTGTGGTTCTGGCCCCTGAAAGATGGTTTGGGCATGTCTCTGAAATAAATGTCCTCATCTGTTCAAAGCATCCTCCTTTTTTTATTTAATTCCTTGTTTCACAGCTTCTCATAATTATGAGGTAACATGAATTATTAACTATTACAGTATATTGTTTTAACAATAGAGCATGAGAAAGCCTTACATTAAAGAGCAATTTTTATGCATTTTTCATGTTTATGCTTCTTAAAGCTCAGTTTAGCTGTCAAAATCTAATTACTGCAACATGTGGTGCATGCCTGCTGTTTGGTTACATATAATACACTATTCTTTCTGTTCTCTTCTTCATAAACACATCTTTTTATTGCAGTGGCTCAGTTGTAGTGATTTCTGGCAGGATCTGCTGCGTATTCAAAATATGACTTGTACCACTATATACTGACTAATTGTTTTAATACTGTAGGAACTGACATGTGAAGACCAAGTGTGCCATCAGGTATATAAGAAGAAAAACTGATCAGAAAGCTGCACCATTATGCTGTTATGTTTTGTCTAAAGAGAAGAACCAAGCCAGATTTGCAATAATTATTCAACACCACCTTGTGAATGTATTTTATGCCTGTTTATGGAAACAAACACATTTTATAGAAATAACATCAAAGAGTTACAAACATCATAAATTCCTTTGTATTTCAGTCTGGAGTTAAATAAAAGTAATTGTCTTTCAAATTATGTTTTCCTACATATTTTTAATCATTTCCAGAGGAATGTTTTGCAGTGACAAAGTTGAAAATTAACAGTTACAATGATCTCGACCACAGTGTATCTCTCCATAACATCTGTAATATTATAATATATTTGGATGACGGGGTAAAACTGGGCATTCATTGGACTGTTTCTGTTTAATTTAGTTCTGGATCACAAAGTCCACAGTTTCAGGCAACAGAATGGCTCACTGAATATGATACATGGCCTTTCGCATCCAGGTGATTGATTTGATTTTGACCCACATCTAAAGCTGCTAGTGGTTACCAACTGATCATGTTTCCTTGCCAATGTGAAATGCTGTAGCTCCTTAATAAGTTCCTAGAGTGAATCACTGACAATGCTGCTAAACTGCAGCTGGAACTGGCATCCTACTAAAAACCCCAGTGGAGAAATCTGCTGTTTGAAGCAAACTTTATATTCAAGAGTTGTTCAATGATGTAAGGCATACTTATGGCTGTAGAAGAAAAACTGCAGGGTACACACAGACTGCCTGCACCCTGTGCATAAAGAGGACCCACCCAGCTGCAATCTTCACCTTCTACCTCCCTTTCAGAGACTTTAAAAAGAAAAGCCATTTCCATACAACTCTTCTAAGTTTTATTTCAGGTTTTTCAAAGGAATTCATGTTCTTTGCTAAAGGCAAGTTTAAGTTAACCATGGATGGTGAACACTACTTCAGTAAATAGAAATTATTCAACAAAATGCACACATTCCACAGAACTAAAGAAGGGCTTGTATGCCCAAAAGCTCATCTGTTTTTTCCCAACCATATGAATTATTCTAATAAAATATCCTGTCTTTTCTATAACTTTGCCTTGCAGATATATAAACTTCCTCATAAAGTCTATCACCATGTCAATTCCATATTGTCCACAGGCCCCCGTTTTCTGTTTGGTATGGGAGGAGTGGCAATTCGCTAAACAGATCCGTGGTAGGGAATTAGAGAAGAGATGTGGAAAAAAACTTTGCAGAAATGGGGATATATGCTTTCTCTTCTTCCCAACCTGCTCTTAGTCTTCCCACTGTCTCACTGCTTTCCTATCTTTTAGGATACGAAAGCAGTGAGACAGTGTCCCAGCTGAGAACAAGGTTACCTCTGCAAAAACCCAAATCGGATTATTAAGTCACTAATACTTATATGGCCATGGAAATAGAGGTATGTATATAGGGATATTTTTATGAATTGGACTTTGCTTCTCCTGATAGAAGTTGACTGTTATCAAACTTCCTGTGTACTTCAGCTAAGCAATGCTCCAATGTTAGTTCACATAGAAGAAACTGCAGTTGGAGTTGATAAACTCCTTATTTTTATTTATTCAGCCCTCACCCTGACTTTCCATTAGAAATATATTTAATTCCTATTTCTATGTTTCTGCTAGTTACTAGGATAGGAAGTACCACAGTTCATTAAGCTTTCAAAATGTTATCAGAACAAAGTAATCACTGGGAAGCAAAATGTGCACATTTTAATCAGTGACATTTCTCATAGCTGGTTCTTGGCAGGAGTAAGCCTGCACGACGCGGGGTTTTGTAACTTCACACCAAATTAGAAAACAAAGGAAAAGCTTTCATGTAGCACAAAGAACTATCGATAAATCACAATGGATGAGTTTGCAGATGGAAAGGAAGCATTCTTCAACTGATTTCTTATTATGTTTACTGGTTTTATCTAATGGATACTGTAGGGAAGTTCATGAAGTAGGCAATTGTGCAATTCAGTAGACTTTGATTAGGAGAAAACTGGATCTGGCCACTTTTGGTCATCAGTTTTCTTTAATGCTTTAACAGGGAGTGAGCAAATCTGCAAGTTTTTTTTACATTCCAGAACAGCATTTTCTTCCCACACATACTGATATGTAGGAACTTACAGCACCTTTACAAATGTATGCACAGAACTAGAGACAGAGGAGATATTAATTTTGTTGCATTACAATTGCTTCCAAAGGCATGTATATATATACTTGTTTGTGTCATGTTTGTGATGTTAGATTGGTCTCTAAGCTGTACAAAGTCCCTTATCTCCTTGTCAGCAGATTAAATACCTGCACAGGAGGAACAGATCTCACTGGTAAATCAGAGGATGTTCACTCCCAGTTTTTCGGCCCTCTGGCATGCAGTGTTGTCTCAGCTGTTTTGAAGGATTACCATTTGCATTGATTCTTTTCCTCATAGAGAATATTACTCAACTACAGTTAACAGGAAGGAATTTTACCAGCAACCTTCTGATCCAGACAACAGAAAAGCCTGTACTGTAACAAAAGCACTTCCTAGTGAGTACAGTACTGGACAAAGAGTCAGTACCATTAGCTGGCACTGGACTTTTCAACAGACAAGGACAAAGGTATGTGTAAGAAATATTTATGGTGGAATTTGTTAAAACCCTCTGCATGAAGTCAATTTTTCTCCCTCAAGGTCAACTAGCATTTTCTTGTCAACTGTTAAAAGAAGAAAGCAACACTGTGGGGAAATGCTGCAGGATAATGTAAATGCTCCCACCAACATTGTTCCGTGGCTAGTTCCTAAGAGGCCATCTTTCTGTTAAGCTCTGCAGGGTCACATATTTGCACAAATGGCTTTCAAACTTTCCATGCATATTCTATGTGCTCTGCTGATGCACTGCTTGTAAAAGAAAGTTGGAGATTTCTAAATCAGCTTTGACTTCAAGATCTGATGAAAACAAATAGAATTTCACCATTAAGTTGTTTAAATACATTTATTTGTACTTTTTTTAAGCAACAGTAATATTTTGCCTTGGTGGGGAGAGATTAATAGAAAGGATTTCTTCAGAACTCTTTTTTTTCCCCACCAGAACACATTCTGCTCAGGTTTCATTTGTGATTGACTTCAAGGGCATAGGTTGCAGATATTTTAATTTCAGCTTGCTGATTACACTTGTTATGCAGATGGTGAAGATCAGATGAAATCATTGTGTGAAAATGAGATTTTAAATAAAATTAATCTGACAAGATTTTCAATAGCTGCAAAAATTTTCTCAGTTATTCTCTAAATATCACACTTGCTTTAATTATATCTCACACTGCAGTGCTTCAGACATCATTAAATAGAAATGGCAGTACAACAGATGACAGTACATAGTCTACTTAATTCAGAGGACTTCTGTGGAGTCATTCCATTCAGCCAGATCAGATCCTGAGTCAGAGCATACGTGTCTACTGATAACACAGACTATGGAGCTGAAGAATTTAATGCATTCAAAGTATCAGTGTCAGGAAAATGTTCATCACTATTCACTGTTATTGATATCTGCTTCAAAGATTCAACAACAAAAGAATGCAATAAACTTCCTGAATGATTAGGAACAGGGGTTTTAAGTTAAACACTCATCTTTCAACTTAGATGATCAAAATATGCAACTAAAACCAAAACCATGTGGCATATGGCACTTTTTTCTATTAACTGAAAAACAAATAATTGAGAATTTACATTTATTGATATAGATATACATAATATTGCATTTTTCTTAATAAATCGCCAACAACAATCTAAATTTGGCTCTAAATTTCTAAACATTTTTGAGAAACAAATATCAGTAAAATAGTCCGGAATAACACCTGGAAGATGAGCTTTACTGGTTAGAGGATTAAGGCAGAATTGAATGGCTCCCTTTGTGAAATAACAGCCTTGGTTCTCTAAAAACACAGATTGCTGTTTGCTACTAATGGGTGCCTTGAGTAGCATTACAGCAAATTGCTTTCCTTGATGGCATAAACTGAATACACAGAAAACACAAACACTCAGTTAAAATGTTAGCACATCAGAAGTCACTAAAGGAAAATAAGTGTTTTCCAGAGAACGGCTTTGTATGATCATAACTGAACTATTTCTGTTTTAGTGAACTTGTGGCGTTTAAACCAGGAAGCAGAACCAGATTTTCTACTGCTATGCTAATTGCATAGTGATTCTGCAGCAGAGCAGGATCAATGTTGACTGTGACTAAACCACAGTGGCAGAAATGAATTAACTGTTGATCATGGGGCTGCAGGATCCAATGTGGTCCCCAGTGGAAGTCTAGACAGCTCCAGCCCTTACTCTGATTTGGACTTCCAGATGCAACATCTGCTCACAGCAACAAGGATATTGTTTTAGTTACACCTCTTCTTACCTGACTCCCCTTAGCTTGTTGTACCAGTACTATGAGATTCTACAGGGGCAATGCACTACTATGAGAGGGTAATATTTGTCAGAAGATGATCTCATACCAACTACCTGAACCTCTACCATGGAACAAGTTGACTCAAAGGAATTCCAGAACATGCTTTAGTAGTTTAAATCTCGGGATGTGCCATTGACACAGCAAGCAGTGCAAGGCAATGAAGATTCTGGCCCTTGTGCTCAGACTTGGGTTTACAGGTTTTTCACAAGGATAAGTATCTGTGTTCTCTTGATACAGTTTCTCTTTGTCTTTTGTTTCAAAGAAGAAAGCCAATCCTTCCCAATGTCATAAATAAAGAAAAATATGTTCATTTTACTGTAGATCTCAAACAATAAGCAAGGATGCGCATGAAGACAGTTTAGTAACTTCTCAGATATGTGGTTTTATTTATTAAGTATGTGAAAGAACTTTGTAGCTGTCCTACTGCAAGTAACTTAAATAAAATGAGACCTATAATATGTTAGGAATCTTCCAATGAAACATGTTTCGGCACCTTGGAATAGGGTTAAAAAAATGCCAAAATAATCGACCTGTCACTGCAAATTTGTTTCCTCATGGGATTAGACACAGATTAAAATTCTTTCATAGAATAAATCAACATTGCTCTGTTGAATGTAAAAACAATACAATGACTTTTATGAAAATCTGGGCTGCAAAATAAAATGTCTGTAGTCCTTTGCTTAGACTACCAACAATAGTAACAGTCAAGACTCCTAAAACCATACACTGGATACAGTTCTGCAGTCACAGAATTCACACAGAACAGTCAGTTGCACCTTGAGCAGTT